CAGCCACAAAGAATACAAAAAAGGAAGGGCCTGTGCCAACACCAAGGTATGAAAGTTTCCCTGGGGTGAAAGAGAGCGTTTTGGTTATTAGTTCTCAAACTTGCAATGTTCTGGTATTGCTTGAAATAGATTCTTTATGGATTTTGTGGCTTGATGATTTGGGTTTTACTCCTCATGGCCTGTGTTTCTCAGTGTCTGATCATTGGAGCTGGACCATGTGGTTTACGAACAGCCATAGAGCTGGGCTTCCTTGGAGCCAAGGTGGTTTTGCTGGAGAAGAGGGACGCATTCTCCCGAAATAATGTGCTCCATCTTTGGCCTTTCACCATTCACGATCTGAGGGGTCTTGGAGCCAAGAAGTTTTACGGCAAGTTTTGTGCTGGAGCCATCGACCATATCAGTGAGTAGTATATCAAACTATTTTTCTTATAGAGAGAAATTAACCTTTACAGTACAGACATCCATTACAGATCCCAGTACAAGTGGACATCACTAAACATAGATGTAAATGGGTTACGAGGCACATTGGCGACTTTCAGTTACTCTAACGACCTTCAGAGGTGTTCAAGGACTCCCAGCAAGTGTAGTGTAAATACTAATGCGTACTGATTCATCCCAGACATTGAATGGCTGCCTACTCATGTAATCATTGTGGGATGTGTTGGGAAAATCTGCCAAAACAAGGTCTTTAAACTTTGCCAGCAAGATAGAACAGTTGGACTTGTGGAAGTGATGTACCTAATCAGAGAAACTCCTCTAGAATATCTTGTCCACGTCTTGAGTCAGATTTTAATACCATGTGTAAATGGGGTCTCAGATGTGCTTTCTGTTTTTGCAATCTCTTACTGCAGGTATTCGCCAGTTGCAGCTGATGCTTTTGAAGGTAGCTCTTCTCCTTGGCATCGAGATTCACGTCAATGTGGAGTTCAAAGGCCTCATTGAGCCACAAGAAGACCAGGAGAATGAGAGTAAGATCACTTTCTCATGTCCTTTCCATGCTAAAGTTCAGCTGTTCCATTCGTTTGTTTTAATTTCCACATAAATACCAGTCGTTCTAAAGAGCTTGGGCATATCCTGAACAAATACCAAGTCTTGCGGAGAAATGTCTTGTCTGTCATTGCTGAACATGCTGTTGGTTTTTCCAGGAATTGGGTGGAGAGCCGAGGTCCACCCCAGAACACATCCAGTCAATGAGCTAGAGTTTGATGTCATAATTGGGGCAGATGGGAGGAGAAATACACTGTCAGGTAAGAATATAACACTACATACAGCATATATAATCGTAAATGAGAACAATGTCCTCTTTTTGAATCTTTTGGTTCTTGTCTAGACAGGGGAATAAAAAAATAGTGGGGCTTGCTAACCTCAGCGTGCAACTTGTGTGTAATGTGCACCATTTATCCTGCAGACATGAATGATATCTCAAATCATGCTGCTTATTGTGAGAAGTGTGCTTATACTTGACTAACTGATCGAACTTGGCAAATCAAAAATGGGAGAAAAATCTTGTAGACTTGCACTAATGTTCAAATGTTTGTAGGGTTTTTGTAAGATCTTTAAATGATTATGAAATAAGTCTCTTATGCTCACCAAGGCAGCATTTATTTGATAAAAAAACTGTAAAATGATGTAATGTTATTACAATTTGAAATAACTGATTTTATTTTGTGCTATTTATTACTGTGATACACAGCTGAATTTTCAAGATCCATCCGTTACTCATATCTGTCTGTCATTATTATGAATGTTTATTCTGTCTCTTCAGGTTTTAAGAGGAAGGAGTTCAGGGGCAAACTGGCTATCGCTATCACAGCTAACTTCATTAACCGCAACACGACTGCAGAAGCGAAGGTGGAGGAGATCAGTGGAGTAGCCTTCATCTTCAACCAGAAGTTTTTCCAGGACCTTAGAGAAGCCACAGGTACAACAAACACTCTTATTCAATATATGTCAGATCTTGATGTTCCAGATGGAACTTAATTACATCTGTGAACGGATGCAAACAACTTCCTCTTTCTATCTCTGTCCCCCTTTTTCTCCCCCCTCGACATGCTGTCTGTCACATCTCCACTTCAATCTCTTCTTCCTGCTCGCTCATTTTGTCTTTTTCTCTTTTGGTTTGCCTCCACAGGAATTGACCTGGAAAACATTGTCTATTATAAGGATGACACACACTACTTTGTAATGACTGCCAAAAAGCAG